ATTTAGCCGTCTGTCTGTCTGTCCGTTTGTCCGTCCGTCCGTATGTCCGTCTGTCCGTATGTATGAACGCAAGGAATGAACCAAACTTGACGTGTAGCTTCTAGAAAAGTATATATATATCAAGTATCTTTCATTTTATACCCTCAACCTATTAAAAATGGGTAAAAAGGGTATAATGTATTTGTGCAAATGTATGTAACAGGCAGAAGGAAGCCTGTCCTACCCCATCAAGTTTAAATATTCTTGATCAGCATCAATATCCGAGTCGATCTAGCCATGTCCGTTGGTCTGTCCGTCTTTTCGCACAATCCAGCCTTCCTGAATATAGAGTGTGCGTGTCAAAGGTTGTCTGATCTGCTGAAAACTTTACACTATGAGATCAAACTGTTACTCAATATGTTACAAGTAGATTTAAATTATCTATCTAATTAAAATTGAAGTCTAAAATTGTTGGCAAAAAACTGCGGCCGTGCAACGCCGGTAAAAATCAACTAAGTATTATTGAATCTATGAAATATGTGTATAAATCTTGTTGACTAGTGTCATGCACAAGTCAAAAACTGCTGACTCGAATGCCTTCACACATGGCGGCCGTGGAAAACGGCATCAAATTTCAATTAAATCAGACACAGATCAACACTTCATAAGCACACGACGAGGCAGAGATTCAACAGTCGCATGCCAAAGCAGCTGCAGACGGGTCAGCGGGCGGGCGGGCGTACGATTGACAAAGGGGAACAGGAAGAGGATAACGAAGAGGAGGAGGAGAGAACTGCACCTGGCTCATGGCAAGCAGCAAGCGCTGCACATTTAGTCAGGTTAAATGAACCGCATCTATTGACTATCTCGCCATGGCAATGCCCATGTCCAAGTCGACGTCGACGTCGTTGGCAAATTTTGCTTTTGAAGGCAACATAAATTTTTCAAACGATTGACTCAGCAAAATGACCATGAATGTGTGACATCAGCAATGCTACATTATCATCACCATCATCATCATCATCATCGTAATCATCAGGCTGGCAGAGGCTGGTTGACTGCAGCAAATATCCAAAGGTAAACACGTGCATTGCCTGCTTCCGTTATCAGGCAGCTTGTTTGCCAGACTGTCGAACAGGCTGCAGGGCTGCAGCCAGCGCAGCCAACGCAGGAAGCCAGACAGACACATACAGACGCACAGACACATATATTCACATATACACAGGCCGGCCACGCCCATCTTGGCCGCCTTCTGCTACGATTTGTGTGCTTATTGACGCTTTGAAGTCGCAGGAATTTGTACAATTTTGTCGCCCCAGCTGAGTGGCCCAGCCAGCTAGCTAACTGTTTCTCCCCCCACCCCCCACTCCATCCCTCGAGGCTTGTACGCTGTGTGCTCGAGTGTTGAAAATTAACTTTGAAAGATTTGCGCAGCATCGAATCGCTTGACATGGCCATTGCGGTTCATTGAGTCCCCGTCGATCCATTGATACGGCCAGCCAGTTGTCATGCAATATGCAGACAGGCCAGTTTCAGCTCTGTGAGCTGCATACATGTCCTGCCTATCGGATTTATTTGCATTTGACAGCGCTTTGTTGCGGTCCATTGTGTAATATAAGAATATAACGGTTGCGTTTCGCAGTTTTCAAAATACTTTATGCGCACAAACAGTGGTCGGCATAAATATTTTGTCAAGCACTTCTTTCTTTTTCATTTGCATAGCATAACGGCTTACTTATTAAGCCTGAAACACAGAAAATATCATTAAATTGTGTAATCATATTCTTTAATCTACATATCTAATATAAGAATCATATATAAACAATATTTGTGCGTACATATAAATTTGACTCGTCAAATGAATTATGCCGACCACTGTACAATTGAAGTGCATTCCGCTAGCCCGCCCGCAGTCCAGCCGCAGCAGCTTAAGCATATTTGCCATTAACAACAACAACAACAAGAGGCAATAATCAAAACAAACGATAAAACAGACGAAAGCAAGCAATTGTTACCGTTCCTTTTTGTTTTTGGGCTTCGTGCTTATGATTTTATTTAAAATATTGCTCAGTAGCGAAAGCTTATCTTCATTTGCATTGTGCTCTGTTGTGCGTACGTGTGTGCATTGTTGTGCCTATATTAGATATGTCAGGAGAATAGTTAAGCTCGTGTTGCTAAGTTTGGTAGAGATTTATTGATAAACATAAAATTAACCCATTTATTTTTACTTCATTTCTGGTTGATCGTGCCTTTTTTCTCATGTCATCAAATTTATAGATTCTGTATATGATATAATGGTCTGCTCCAGCCGGATATGCCTGCAACAGTCGAACCTACACATGCTAACTTTTATAACGATAGCTTTTAAACGGAGAGACGAGTTTGCATAGATCTGACATACGCATGCTTTTAGTGATAATGCATTACATTTCACAACACAATCAATTATAAAGTTTTGCAGATGTGCAGAATATTCAGCCTGCGTGTTTATGTGCAATTGCTGGGTTCAAAGTAACTCAGATTTAAGCAGACGTCAAGCGCTCAATAAATGGGCGCACAGCAAAACAAGCAAGTCTTGCTTAGAGCGATAAGCAGCGGCAAAAATTTGAGAGAGCGCAATGCACACGCAGACAATGCACGGGCAGGCATATACACACATGCACGTACCTTGCGATTCCCCTTGCATACACCTGTTTGGATGGGTGTTCGCTGTTGTGTTATCTGCATACTCTCTATGCATGGCGCTCTCATGAGTTTGTGAAGGTGCTTATCGCTGATTGGTCAAAGCAAGAGTTGGCTGTGCACGATATTATCTTATGATCGTTGGCTTTGTTAATTTCTGAGCGCCGGTTTTTGTCGTCCGCTTCACGCACTCAGCACTTTATTCTGTGTTTGACCCCAGTAGCAAATTAAAGCGTCCAATAAAAGTTGTACAATTTATTTGATACTATAGATTTCTAAAAGGAACATTATTACAATATCGGCCTTTACTTATTGAAGTTAAGTCCTTGAAAGAATTTACGACAAATAAAATTAAAAATATCAAAGTGTAGAATATTTTATATATTTTTGAATTTCTAACCACCAGAATTGTAAATTAACATTAAAAAATGTAATGTCCAACACTTGACAAATTTAAGTAAAAAAGCAAAACGCTAGCCCTGCACACAGTCACAATGTCTCGCAATAAGCAGCCATAGTTAATGTCCAATTGAGCACTGGGGTCAAATTTACTCTGGAATAAAAAAGACGGCACACCGAAACTTGACACACGTACGTATTTAACGAACTCCTCAGCGTAGACTTGTTTGTGTGTGCGTTCGCTTAAATATTATCTATGTATGAGAGTGAGTGGCTTATTACACAGAACTAAGCTGCGCTAGCGCTAAGCGGACTGAGAATAAATTGGCGCACAGAAAATATAGCAAGTCTTGCTTAGAGCGATAAGCAGCATCAGAAATCAAGAGAGCGCCAATGCACACGCAGATAATGCACGAGCAGGCATATACACACATACCCACTGCATAGACTTGTTTGGGTGTGTGTTCGCTGTTGTGTTATCTGCAGATTCTCTATGCATGGCGCTCTCATGAGTGTTTGAGGGTGCTTATCGCTGATTGGTCAAAGCAAGAGTTGGCTGTGCACGGAATTATCTTATGATCGTTTGCTTGCTCGATTTCTGTATGCCCGCTATTGAGCGCTTTGCTCAACATAATTCTGTTTTAGTTAAACAGCTGAAGCCGTGTGAAGCTGTTTTAAAATACATTAAGTGCGATTTCTGCGGTAAATAATGCCCGTTTTTTTAATGGTTTACGTTATTAGGCTCGTGAGCATCAAGAGTATTAGTTGGCATTAAATAAATCACATATTTAAGTTCGATAAAAGGGACAATGCCTACATCAAAACTCTAACCAAATTGGGTTCAGCAAATTTTGGCAAAAAAAAGTGCAAAAGTGTGCGCTGCAGCCATAGACAATGTTCAAACGGGCATTTACACATTCATCTGTACACATTTGACGATTTCCTTTGCAAAGACATTTTGGTGTGTGATGAATGTACATATGCTTGATTGAATGTAGCGCAAATCTTGTCGAAAATTCGAAAATAAACATATGTATTTGACGATTCTGTCTGCATACATATGTTTGTGTGTGTGTTTTCATGGATATAAAGCATTATCTACCTTTGCATCGCGCTTTATCAAACTTTTACGCACTCTGTGTGCGCACATAAATTTAATGTTTTGTATCAATTGGCATTAGGAAAATAACAATACTAATAACAAAATTGCAGTGCTTACATCAAAATTATTGACAAATAAACTTTCACAATGTTAAAGGTACAAAAGTATTTATATTTAAAATCAACTAAATCGTTACAAAGCCAACAAATCAAATTATTTTTCGTTTTGTATAAAATAATTGTGAGTGTTCACTGCTTTTGTAGACAATGTACAAGTAGTCATATAAACATCCATACATACATACGTACATATTTGACGATTGCCTTTGCACAGACTTGTTTGTGTGCGTGTTTACTTGTGCGTTATCTACTTACGCGAGGCGCCGTGCGCATATGTACATATGTATGTACATATGTATATGCTTGAATTAGGCAAAGCGAAAACACATACAAACACGCTCAACGGCACCTCACACCAAACAGTTATTTTCGCTTTGTTTTGGTTCCAGTGCACACGCGTCAATACATATATGTAGCTTGGGAGATGAAAACATATATACACATATGTATATATATATTATAATATAAATTTAAATACAACAATAACGTAAGCTTATTTTAAAGTTGAAAATTTGTTTATGTGCTTAAGTAATTAACAATTACAAATTTCATTTCAATTCATATTTCATATACATATGTATGCATATTGTTGTATATAGAATAACTTTTGCTAGCTTTGTGCTTGCATTTCCTAAATCACAGTTTAAAATGCTACAACATTAGCAACATTTTAAAACTAATATCTTTATATGTATGTATGTATTTCTATTCCCTTGCAGGCGCAATTCCAGCATTAATTATTTGCAACCTCTGAAAGCTCTTGATTTAATGTCTAAGCCAACTATTTAACTGCGCTGAACTTGGAGCAGGATTACATATGGTAGGAGATTAAAGTTGTTAACAGCTGCCAGTTTACGTTGAATGTCAAGCGCTATTTGCAAAAGGTTGAGTAAATTTATGAAAAATCAACAATAAGAGGAACAACAATATTTCCCAAGGCTATCAAATGCCAACGGCTGGCAACTAATAAAACGTGCGCTAAATATTTATGAATTTTCATTTTACGACACCTTCGAAAGCAGCTGTAAAAAATACACACACACACACACACACACACACACACATACACAATGCCAAAAATTGTCGTTGTGACTGGACGCTGGTCAGCGGCTCTTACATAATTTAAACCAACACAAAACAAAAAATAAACAAACAAAAATGTACAGCGTACAAAATTAACATAAAACGGAAAAGAAACAAAAGAAGTAGAGAGAGAGAAAAAGAAATCACGTTTTGCAATTACACAAACGAGATTTGGAGCAGCGCACAGAAGCGGAGTTTAAGCTGGCGCAGCGGTGCGAGCGAGTGGGCAAGAGTATATGAATGTATGAATAAACGAGCGTAAGTGAGATGCCAATAGCAGAAGTTCGCCAGCAAAATCAGTTTTTGTTTTTGCTTACAGGCTGTGCACAAACAACAGGAAAGATTTACAGCTGAAGTTTCGACTGGGACAATGCAAAGCAGCCAGAATGTGTGAGACAGAGCGAGATAGCCAGCTTTCACAGTGTGCAAGACAATGAGGCATGCACGCGTGTATATTAATTGAGCTAAGAACTAACGGCAAATTTTATATTCAGGTAATTATTTATTTGCTGCTTACAGTTCACAATTAATTGAAATTTTTGGTTTAAGATTTTACTTTTATATAAATTTAGCCTATTTTTGACATTTAAAAATGTGAATAACATATTGCCCTCAGTCCGGTCAGCCTGTGTTGTAAAACGCACAACAGTTTTTCTCTGTTAACGGTTAGTTTGTTTTTACTATACAACTTACTTCTCAAATGTTATAAGGTCGAAATTGATTGCCCAGCAAATTAAATGAGGATCTTAGGCTTCACACAAGCCAGCTGTGTTGTAAAAGGCGCTCTTAGACGGGTGTTGGAAAGTTTTTTTAAACAGTGACTGGAACTAGGTTATGTTATTGGTTGAGTAAGCTATAAAGTCTTCCGAAAGCTTAGTTAATTCAAATTTCATATATCTTTGCAGCCTTGGCTCAACTTTAATTTAAAGCAAGCAAAAAAAAACTAGCCGAATTTCAAGCCTAAGCTGCCAGAACTTTGTAAGCGTTCGCTTACAATTTGCAAAATCACAAAACATGAGTTTCTCCGCCCTGCTCCATTCCCGAAAAAGCCGCCAACTAAGCCGCACAGAACAAGGCACGTTTTTAGCCACTCGCTAACAAACAAACGAAAAAAAAAAACAGGCGATGCGCAGTTCTTGGGCTGCGCTGCTGCTTCTTCTTCTGCTGCCATAATTGTATTGCATAATTTTAGCACGCTCCGATGTAAAGTGCATGCCATAAATACGCCCGGAAATATGCGGCAATACAATATATAGCACTTGTGCAGGCTCTGCCTACCGAGAAGAGAGAGAGAGAGAGAGAGTCGAGTCGCACACGCTACTTTTCTCATTACAAATTGGATTTTGCAGTCACATTTCGCTTATTGCGTTAAAGAAGTAAAAAAATCTATGTAAATTTCTTTATATGCCCACGAGGGAGGCGGCTCCTGAGCCCCCTCCACCCACCCCTCCCATAGGCCACTCTCCCTGTCCCTCTCCCTCTCCCTCGGCTGCTGCACGCTATCTGGCTCCATTTTCGTAGCATACTTTTGTGCGGTATTCGTGTTGCAGCTGCACGTAGCGCAGCAGCGGCATTTTGTTTGCATCTTATTATTATTATTGCCATAGAGCTGCAAATACAAATGCGCGCACACACACACACAGACACATACACTTAGCTACAAAATATACAAAAAGCGGCGTCTGCCGGCTGCCAAGTTATTGCGAAAATATAATTCACTGCACTTTTTCTCTTCTCTCTCACCCATTTGCCACATCTCCCTCTCTCCCTCTCTCTCTCTATCGCTCGCTCCGTCTCTGTCTGTTTGTTGCAAATTAGCTGTGTGGCAATGTGATAATATAATTTTTTTTGTGCAATTTTTGCGCAAAATAAGTTTATTGTCTGCAATTGGCCAGATTATATAATCATGCTTGATAAGCTCGTGCAAGTAGCGCACTTTACGCCAGACAGGTTAATGCCGGGCTATACGAAATTCCAGCTCTTAGACAAACAATAAACTTGCAGCAGAGCAAATAAAAGTGTTGGTAAAAATTTATTGCCAGCTGGCCAAAGTTGTTAAGCTAAATGTTATTGGTAAATATTAAATTGAATCAAGGCGAAAAACATGCTTCAAAATTGTGCAAACAATAATTATGATAAATGTAATTCGAAACGTTTTGCACAATTCCCATTTGTATTTCCCCAGTTTCCTTTTTACACGCTCGTATTTCATTTTCCAACTCCCAAGCTAATGTCAAGGTTTTTCCCAAAAAAAAAAAAGAATGAAACAAATGCAATTAGCAAAGCGTTTGCATATGTTTCCCAACTCGACAACAATTACAGAGCAACAAATACGAAATGCAGCTTTCAATAAATAAAAACAGTTTGGCTTTTGTCTAAGGTCGGACTTTTCTTGCGAGCATGGAAAACTTTTGTTAACGGCCGGAAAATTTGCTGAACAAATTGCAATTTTCACTCAATTAAAAAAACGAAGGGAAAACTACAAAAGCATTCGATGCTTCAGCTACTCCATATTCTATACACAACGAGTGATAAAATAGATCACCGCTGCGTGCTCGACCAGCAGATACCCTGTATCTTATATAAGTGTAATGCTATATTCTGCAAATTACTTATTGCCTTGTGTTTAAATCAAGTACTTAAAGTGTTATAAATATTAAAATATTTTTAAACTTGTGCAAATATATTTGCCCTTGCTTTCATGATACCCCATTTGAACCATTTTACGGGCACAGGGTATAAAAATGTAAAACGCAAAGTTTAAGTTTTTCAATTTAAAAATTGCATAGATATTTTAAAAGTTTCGAGCAATTTGTGTGGTTGCTTCGAGCTTTGGAAGCCGAGTGCTTTAAATTCCAGTGACATTCCAGGGAATTGCATTTAAAGCCCTGCATTGTCATATATAAAATGAATAACATAAATAATACATTTGGCAAAATGGCAAATGGAATCAAATGGAGTTACAGTGTTAAGAAAAACTAAAGTTTTGAAGGGGAAACAAAGCAAAAAACAAAAAAAATAATCTAAAATCATCGGCTGAGAGCATTTGACAAAAATATTGTATATGTATGTATTCTATAAAATATTACAGTTAATTATAAAAGTATAGACAGTATTTGTAAATGTAAACGCATTTTATTTATGGCATGTAAAAAATCTCTTACTTGTAAAATTGGACACATCGCAATTAGCAAGGCTGAAAAGTCTTACTGCTTTACATACATACATATTTATATACATATATATATAGATATGTTAAAGAACAAAGCCCATATATGTATGCATAAGAGATAATAACAGCTGTGAAAGCTGTGTATACACACACGCACATCTATAATTCTTTGCTCTTCTTTGCGCAAGAGTTCACTCAATTCAGCTTGACGCCAAAAGCCATCGAGTATTTAATGCTTACATACATACATATATTATTATAATTGAGCTCGAAAGATTATAATTGCATGGTGCTGTTTGGTGTACCCGTGCGTCTGTGTGTGTGTGTTGCTCTGCTCGCTTTATCTCTCTCTCTCTCAAGTTGAGGCTCTCATATGCTTGCGTGCGCTTAGTCAAAGTAATACGAATTTGAATTTAAATCAATCAACAGCTGCCAATTAAGATGAGTGCCTGTTATTAACAGCCGCAACTTAACATAGGCCTGTAAATGTGGGAGGCGATTTTATTGCTTCATTTATTTTTCAATGTCATTTTTATTGTTAGAATTGGTTTAATAATTTAAACGATTAGACGAATTAATTAACAAAATATAAGAATTAACATAATTATAATTATAAAAAAAAGTATTCAAATTAGAATAAATATTATTTTAGTTATTATAAATATTCTTTTAATTTTGTATACATTTTTTTGAGAGTTATGCAAATTATTAATGCATCCCTCTGCAATAGGAACTAGTGACAGTTTTTTAAACTCTTAAATTGTTATAGGTATATGCAGGTTACGTAAATATATTAATAGACTATCTAAGAATTTAAATATGTGTTTAAGAGAATCCAAAGAGCACTCTGTCAGCTTGTTAAGCACACGCCTAATTATGGACATACGGGCGCAAGTGGAAACCCTTGTTTATATGCAAAATTTGTTTACTGCCCGAAATCCAATTATATACATGTATGTATGTATGTGTGTATGTATGTATATAATAATAACTACTCGCGTTATTTTGCCGCTTGTTCAGCGAGCTTTGGCAACTGTTAATGCCCGCTACAGACACACACAAACACACACACATGCGCGCGCGCACTTCTCATGGACATAACATTAAAATTAATTACCCAACTGGTTCTTATAATTTCAGACTGTCCATCCACGAGGCGGGCGCCGTCCGAGGCGGGCGGCTAATTGTGGACTTGTGCGAGTCGTTTCATTGATTTATGGCTGCTAATTTCCACGCACGACGTTAAAAGTATTAAATAATAAACTCTAACGCGACGTCCTGCCACGAAAAAGGCATCCTGATCCCGCCAGAGCTGCTCTATGTATCTGCACGGCAGACACGCCCGCCCGCCCGCCTCCTGGTCGCCAGCCCCCCTGCCGTCAACGACGTCGCCTTGGAATATGAGCTACACGCCTCTTCTTCTGCCGCCTCCCCCCCTGCACGCCTTCTGACTTTACAAGTGTTTTGTTCTATTTTATGAGCTACTGACGCTGCGTGTGCCCCTCCCCCACACCCCGCGCTCCCCGTCGGGCACCGCTTGCCCGCGTCGTAAACCCTTCTACCACACGCCCAGCTCGTTGGCATCTAATGAAATTAAAGGCGAAATGTAATACAGCTGGCAAAGTTTTCACAACGGTTATTTCCATGGCTGGCTGCTGCTCGGAGTGCCGCCCGCCCCGCTCCACCAACTTTACATCTCCCTCCATTTACATCTTGGTAATGTAAGCTTTAAATATCAGTTTATTTATTAATATTATCTCGGCTGAATGTGGTCCGATTTTTAAATGTTATACCTCTTGGGAATCGTACGGCCCAGCACTGTTAATTAGCATCGATATATTCATTACTTGAATTTGATCCAATTTTACCGAAATAGAGGGCAGCCAATCACCTAAAGCATTCCTCATAATTCCCCACAGCGAACAACAGTAAAACTTTCAGCTGTGCAGAATTTTTAGCCTGGAAAAAAATAAAACAAAATCGCAATTAAGCTAAGCGAGTGCAAGACGCACGACAAAAACAAAACGGTGCTCAGAAAATATATCAAGTCTTATGCGCGCACAGAAAATAGAGCAAGTCTTACTAAGAGCGATAAGCAGCATCAAACATCAAGAGAGCGCAATGCATACGCAGATAATGCACGAGCAGGCATATACACACATACCCACTGCATAGACTTGTTTGGGTGTGTGTTCGCTGTTGTGTTATCTGCATACTCTCTATGCATGGCACTCTCATGAGTTTTTGAAGGTGCTTATCGCTGATTGGTCAAAGCAAGAGTTGGCTGTACACTCAATTATCTTATGATCACTTGCTTGCTTGATTTCTGTGTGTCCGTTGTTGAGCGCTTTGCGCAACATAATTCTGTTTTAGTTAAACGACAGCAGTCGTGTGAAGCTGTCTAGAAATAATTAAGTGCAATTTCTCGGGTAAATAGCGTCCGTTGCTCTAATTGTAAACATTATTAGACGCGTACAAATACGGAGTAACATTAAATAAATCACGTTCTTAAGTTGATAAAACATGGCAATTTTTACATTAAAACTCTACCCAAATCGGAGTCAGTTCTAAAATACATATTTTAAATGTCCCTTGGACTCTAAAAACTTTTACAACGCCTTTATTAAAGAGTAATTTATTTTTCATTTAGTAAAAAATGAATGAGTGTGTGCTGCAAAACTAGACAATGTTCAAGCGGGTATACATATACACATTCAACCGTACATATTTGACGATTGCCTTTGCATACACTTGTTTGTGTGTATGCATGTGTGTAATTGCCATCAGAAGAAGAACTTGCGCGAGTGAACACTAAAGCAAATCTTGTTGAGAGCGATCAGAAATTCGGGAGAGCGCAATAGATAATGCACGAGCAGCCATTTACACATACATATAAACATATTTTGCAATTCCCTCTGCCTACACTTATTCGGTTGTGTGCTTCTTGTGCGATATCTATTTATGCAGGTGTGTAGCTTGTACGTTATCTGGCTTTGAATGCGCTCAGTCGAATTTTTGGTTGCCTGCTCAATCTCCTGTACGCCCATCTTTGAGCGCTTTTATTAATATAATTCTGTTTGAATTTAACATCAGCAAGCAAGCAAAGTTGTTAAAAAAAATATTTTAACTTTAATTTCTCGGATAAATCGTGTCCGTTAATTTAATTGTATACGTTATTTAACTCGTACGAATCGTGAGCATTAATAGGCATTTAAAAGTTTGGAATCGGTTCTATAATTAGAGTTTTAATGTTGTGTGGTTTTTAACGAATTTTGCTATACTTAAAGGTATTTATTTCCCAAATCGACTTGATTCAACCGATAAAAAGCGATACAAGGCTTACAAGTAAATAATTTTTTTTTATTTTTGTGAAAAACATTCGTGAGTGCGAGTTGTATGCATAGATGTACATTGGCGCATATGTACATATTGTGCACCTGCTTAAAATTGTTTGTATGTAATTGCTTAATTAAATGACCATTAACTTAGTCGTTTGCTTAATTTCATTTATGGCTTATTGTATTTAAATATGTTTTCAACTTTTCAGATTGAAGAACACAATGACTAATCGATTTGAAGGACTTCCACGATGCTTTCCTTACCAGGTTCGGACTATATTTAAACCAGATATAGTAGTTAATTAATAAATTTGTTTATTTTTAGATTCAGCAAAATCTGCAGCGCATTAGAACAAAATCAAAAGATATTGGCACCTAGTTGACCCATGTATCCTTGGTTATTTCATACCATGGATATAGTCCTAGTGAACCTAGAGGACCGACTTCTAGCAAATGCGCAAGAATATAGTCCACAAATATGTATGCATTCTCTTTCAGCTGCCCCCCCCCCTTGATGGTTCCTAGTTGACTGTCATATCTTTGGTTATACCATACCATCGATATAGTCCTTGGCAACCTAAAGGATCAGATCCCTGCAAAATTTGCTTCGAAATGGTCCAAAAACATGTATGCTTTTTCTTTCAGCAGCCCCTGTAAATAAGCAGCAGCTGCAGCTGCTAATTAACAGCTGACCTTACAGCACTCGTTTTACATTAACTGCTGTTTAACATAACTCATTTTAAATGAGTAACATTTTTGGCCCTCACGCGTATGCAACGAAAATGTTTATTCGAAAATACTCGTCGACCTTCTAAGCATTTCTGTTCGCCTGGTGCTTGAGCGAAATTTTAGTCAAAATTTGGGACCCAGCCGCCAACAAGCGCGCCCCTTTTGGGTATGCAACATAAATTTTTCGGCGGCTGAAAATTTTTGTCGACCTGCTGGTCATTTCTGTTCGCCTGGTATTTTAGCAGAATTTAAGAAAAATCTCGGTAGCCAGCGGCCGACAAGCGCGCCCCTTTTGGGCATGCAACAGAAATTTTTCGGAGCTGAAAATTTTTGTCGACCTGCTGGTAATTTCTGTTCGCCTGGTATTTTAGCAGAATTTAAGAAAAATCTCGGTAGCCAGCGGCCGCCAACGGACGCCCCTTACGGGTATACAACAGATTGCAATTCCATATCCCTTGGAAGTAAAAAAACGGGAAATTGTTTGATAATTATTTATTTTTGTTAATATTAACAAATTTGTTGTTTTATGCACATATTTTCGTTTTTACACTTAAAATGGCTATATCAGGCTTAATATACGTCCGATCCTGAAAGGATTAGCCTCGTTAGATTCGTAAAAGTCCTTAGAATCGATTAGAGTAAATCCTTCAATCTGAAAAGATAAAAACATATTGGAATCAAAAATGTCATAAGAGAGATAGAAAGGTATTTTGAGGAAAGAAATAGCCATAACTCGGCCATATCCTTGCAGATTTTCGAAGGACATGGTGCGTTGGGATCATAGGGCCCAACCCCATCGAACTGCATCAAAATATTAGGGGGTCATCTAAGAATCCTGGACTTGGTAATTTTTCAGTCGCGGGCCGCAAGGAAAATTGCGTGAAATCATCAAATTTCAGTAAAATCGCGATATTTCTGAAACTACAAGGACGATCTTGATGTCCTTTGGCCAGTTGGTAGGCCTGGTCAGAACAATTTTTTTGACACATGTCCTGCCAGGATACGCAGGATACAGCAAAGTTATGGCCTATTTTCTCTTTTAAAATTTGCCCATAAAACTTCGTTGTTTGAAGGATTTTCGTCCTTCGGGTTGTATATTCTTAAATGGGAGGGTGGGGACTATCTGCTGTCCAAAGGACATCCCGATAGTCCTTCAAATGGCGAAGTTAGTCCCGAATTTTTCGATTTTTGGCCATTTTCTGACTAAACCCCTTGGAAAAATTTTAGTGAAATTTAGGAAATCCTGGAAATCTTTGAATGCCAATCGATAGTCCTGCTCCTCACGAGTTCAGAAAGGTATATCCTTTTGATATCCTTAAGGATATGGCCGAGCTATGGCTATAAAAAGAATGTCCTTTTTAGAAAAGTAGCCATATTTCTGCAACCAGAAAGACGATTTTGATGTCCTTTGGTCAGTTTGTAGTCCTAGTCCATACAAGTTGTTTGACACAGGACTTGTCAGGATACGCAAAGATACGGTTGAGATATAGCTATTTCAATGTCAAAAACCTATGTCCTTATATCTTGGCTGTTGAAAGGACTTTCGTCCTTTCAATTATATTTTCTGATTGGGAAAGACAAGGACAGTTTAATAGCCAAAGGACATGCCGAAAGTTTTTGAAATGCCCAAGCTATGGCCAGTTTTGTATTAATATCCTTTTTAGGAAAATAGCCATAGCTCGGCGACAGCCTTGCAGATTTTTAAAGGACATGGTGCGTTTTGATCGTAGGGACCAACTGCATGGAACTGCATCAAAATATTAGGGGGTCATCTAAGAATAATGGACTTGGTAATTTTTCAGGCGCGGGACGCAAGGAAAATTGGCTGAAATCACGCAATTACAGTAAAATCGAGCTATTTCTGAAACTACAAGAACGATCTTGATGACATTTGGCCAAATGGTGGTCCTTGTCAGTACAATTTTTTTGACACAGGACTCGGCAGGATACGTCAGGATATAGCCGAGCTATAAACTATTTTCGGTTTACAAATTTAATCGTGAGGACCTAGCGCATTGAAAATTAATTTCGGAGTCATGGACTTGGTAACATTTCAGCCGTAAGGCGCAAGAAAAATGGAGGAAATTACAACGAACGAACTCGTCCATACAATTTGTTTGACACCGGTTTGTCAGGATTCACATGGAATAACTAGTAGCATTATCAAATGCATTTTAAATTAATTATTAATATGTAGACAATATTTCTCAACTCAATAGCAGATTTGTTGTCTATGCTGTGACTGTTACTGTGGGAACTGTTACTGCATGGACCTGTTATTTAAGAGGATACTGAGAATAAAACCCTAGCTTAGTTTTACATAGATAGAAACCAGAGCTAAAATATCCCTATCAAACAGCCTTTGCAGTACATTTCGTTTGACTGCTTAAATTTAACTTATGCGTTTGTTTGATTCCAGACAACGAATATTAGGAAAAATAGTGACTCGGACATGGCATCCCTAGCTGCAAATACCTGCAAACTGGAGGGCGTGGCAGCAGCAGCAGCAGAGTCGTCGGCAAAGGTCGCCCCAAGTAGTCCTCGGCCCGTGGCGTCATCCACGCCGGACGCAGACCGCGGCAGGGGGCAGAGGAAAAGCAAACAGCCCTCTTCCGGCTGCACAATGGAATTGCGTTCACGCAAATACACCGAGATCCTTGGAAGACGTGGCATACATGCATACAGATCAGGCCAAAAGACACCGAAATCTGTCCGAGCAACGCGACCTGCTAAAACTCCAAAGATATCCGGCACGCCCGGCACACCGAAGACGGCAAAGCGGTTGTCCAAAAGTCGCCTGAAAATGTAAGCTAATGTAATTTGAACTGAAAGTTATTGGAATTTTGCGTCTATACCTTGTATCACAGCGAGCTGCGCGATTTGGCGCCCGTGCAGTCCACGCAGTCCACGCCCCAAATAGCTGCCCCCAAAAAGTATTCCCCGCTCACCGCGCGCAGAAGAAAGGAATTATTGAGCATACAGCTGGGTCCAGTTTCGCGCAGACGTCCTCTATACGCACGCCGGAGTCCTAGAATAGCGGAGAAGAGAAGGGCGTGAGTAAACAATATATATTTTATAATAAACCAATTACATTAACTATTGTATATCCATTACAGGGAGGAGCAAGCCATGGGTCTGGGTAATACCATAGAATCGCCGTACAAGCGCAGACGTTGCGAGGGGGGATCGAGCGTGGCTGTGCCTCAACTGGGGCCACCAAAAGCAGAAGAGTGCGTGGACATATCCACATTGGCCTCCACCAGCCGGCAGCGACATTATGTAAGCAGCTCTTCGGCTCCAGCAGAGCAACAAAGAGAAGAATGTGCCGTGACTGTCTCCGTGTTGGAGACACCAAAAATAGACAAAACTTTGAAGCTGGAGGTGAAGAAGAGTCCAACTGAGCACCAGCCGAATCCTCGAGTAGCTGCATCCACAGCTAGAGAAAACTCAGCCATCCAGACTCTGGCGAAGAAGAGTCCAACTGGGCAGCCGAATCCTCGAGTAGATGCATCCACAGCTAGCGAGAGCTCAGATATCGAGACTCTGAAGAAGAAGAATCCAACTGAGCAGCAGCCGAATTCTCGGGTAGATGCATCCACAGCTAGTGAGAACTCAGCTATCGAAACTCTGAAGAAGAAGAGTCCAACTGAGCAGAAGCCGAATCCTCGACTAGATGCATCCACAGCTAGAGAAAACTCAGCCATCCGGACTCTGGCGAAGAAGAGTCCAACTGGGCAGCCGAATCCTCGAGTAGATGCATCCACAGCTAGCGAGAGCTCAGATATCGAGACTCTGAAGAAGAAGAATCCAACTGAGCAGCAGCCGAATTCTCGGGTAGATGCATCCACAGCTAGTGAGAACTCAGCTATCGAAACTCTGAAGAAGAAGAATCCAACTGAGCAGCAGCCGAATTCTCGGGTAGATGCATCCACAGAGAACGAGAACTCAGCTATCGAAACTCGAACTCCACTTGAGACTGACCTAGACGAGAGCACACTCAAGCCCGAGGAACAGAGCTTCGATTGTGGTGTTCAAATCCTAGCAGCAGATAGCGAGGGGTCGCTGGATGACAGTGAGCACGGAGAGCAGATGGCAGCAACTAGTAATTCCCAGGAATTTGTGGAAGATTTACCTGAGTCCGAAATGAAAGAGCAAGAGCTGCAGCTGATCAGTGCCAGGCAATCCAGAGAAAAGAAACGCACAAGCCGCGACGAGAGAGGCTGTTTTCTCATGTGAGAGACTATAAGTTATTATATAAAATGTGGATTAGTTGTAACCGAGATATGTGATAATAAGCAACTATTGTGAATAATTATGTGAAATATATTAAATAAAAGTTTATTTAAAGAATAACCAATTTGTGGCTTTTGAATTTATATTGATACTCAGTTTCTTGGCCTGATCAAGATCCAGAACATAATTATTACAAAGGAAGCGCTGAACAGTGATCTGGTCACACTGTATCTGTATCCAGTATTGGTTAACATCGGATTTATTAATAGATCACGTTATTTCTTTTTGAGAAACCCAAATGAAAAATGCGTTTACTGTAGCTGACTTTTCTTGTTAAGATTGATAGTTTTGACAAACACTCGAGCCTTACCCAACGCTCTACAATTAACTGATTCTAGGTTCTATACGGAAAACGGAAAACACATGAGCTTTTCAAAAAGAAAAGTGATTGAATGTATTTGAAAGTCGCAGCTGCGACGGTAAAAACTTTTGGGAAATGTCGCTGGTAAAGGGAAAAACTTGAGTTAACCAAAAAAAAAAAAAGGAAACAAAAATATTTACTGACGCACGTAAAACTGAGCAAAGTGCCCGAAAAGGGAAACACACGCCCACTCGCTGGCAATGACAAACTATGTTTTGTGCCCCGCCCCGCCTCCGCCTCCGCCCGCGTCTACAGCCGATCAACATTGTTGTAGTTGTTCCAGTTGTTGTTGTTGTTGTTGTTGTCCCAACGCACGTAAGTTTTTAGAGGCTTAATTAAATGCATAAACTTCTAAGCATAAATACAGTTGCCATTCCCCCCTCTCACTCTCTCACTCTCTCCCTCTCTCACTCTCTCTCACATTGCCTCCTGCAGCACGTCATCAGTTGATTCGTTCCACCTACTTCAAACCCCATGGGGCAACTTTTTTGAGGTTCACGTATAAATTTGAAACGCTTTACATTGTTTACGTACTTTGTCATAGTTACATGTATGCGTGTACATGTGTGTGCGAGCGAATGTGTGTGCGAGTGCATGTGTGTGCGTGTGTATGCCTTGTTGCTAGCTTTTAGTAAAGTTCTTAGCTAAAGTGTTGCAATTATATTGATTGAATTTTGTGGCAACTGCGAAATGACGTGCCGCACACACACACACACACACACGCACGCACACACACGCACGCATATATTTCGTATACGCCACCGAGGCACCCCGCCATGCACTGCCAAATGGGCACAGCAGGTGGGCGTGGCACTAGCTGATTCAAGCAACAAGCATTTCACACGTTTGGCGCGACAGAGTTTTCACTTGGCATTAACAAGCTGATATTAAGAAACATAACTACTTATTAACGGAGGGATGAATATTGAGGTAAATATCAGAGTTAGGTGTTAGATTTAGTAGCCTCAATTTTTAAGAATACTAGATGCCTCCTACATATAAATATATATAGCGGGAGATTTATGCAAATATAGGAAGAATAGCAAACGTTTGAATTTGTTTTGATTATTTTTTCGATAACTATTGAAACTAAACGTAAAGAATTGTTTAAGAATATTTGCTGAGGGAAACGTATGAATAACTGGAGCTTAGGCAGAGAAGTAACTCCTCAGGAGATAGCTACCAGAAGTCTTGAGTCTTGCCCAGTAAATATTAATTGCCAGGGTTCAATATGACATGCTGGAGCCTGGGATCATAGTCTATAAGCGAAGTACAAACGAAGGAGGTTAGCTTAGAAAAACTAAATGCAATAAAATAATTTGGTATTTGAATTGAATTGAACATCTTTGTTTAAAGCATTGGCTAAGATCTTCATTGCTTCGCATTAAAGTGCAATATAATTTTATAGCACGATTTTTAATATGGAAGTCTTAGATATTTTAAAAAATTTAGACATGGAATTTGGAGTTTTTTATTCAATGCGGGATTTGGCGAAATAAATTTTAAAATGTTATCTGTCACATTGAAAAACTATGAGTAAAGTATAAAACCAACTTGATCAAACCCATCGATATTGTCGACTCTAGTCTTATAAGCACAATTTTCGCCCTCTTGATATAGTTTCTAAAATACAATTTTAAGCAATACTTATATACTTAAACTTAATTACAATAATAATAGTCATAACAATAATAATATTAATTATAGTTAAAATATAAATATTAATATCGATATTATAAAAATTTAGATATTAATAATACTAATAACACTAATTATATTAATAATAATAATATTTAAATTAATAATGATAATGATAATACCTATAATATTAATAATTATATTAGTAAGCATAATAATAATAATATATACAATAATAATAATAATAATAAATTAATGTTCATAATGTATTAATTAATTATGAAGACGCTCGTTTTTGTGGACCATTAATAAATAAAAACCAAAATAGAAACAATAATAATAATAAGTATATTTATAAGAATTATTACAAATCTAAATAATAAAATAAATACTTATAATAATAATTAATATACTAATAGTACTAAAAATAACATTAATAAAGAATATAATAATAACATTAATTATAATCATTATGATTTTGTATTCACAATGTATACAACAACATAAATAATTATAATAATAATAAATTGTATGTTACATATATTACAATATAATTCGTATAATTTTCATATATTACACAGAATTTGTTCCTCATTGAATTTTTCTTTTAGCTGTTTTTTTTTCGCTCTTTCTCTTTTTTTCTAGTTGAAACCTATTTGAAATGCAACTTTTGCGCCAACGCATAAATCTTTGGCACAAATGGCAAACAGCGGCCAATGTGGCAGTAGATGAGGCGACAGATAGAGGCTGCTGGAGGAAACGAGGGGGCACGAGAGGGACAGAGAGAGCGTGAGTAAGTGTGTGTGTGCGAGCGAGAGGTGGCTTTGCTGGCAGGAGGCAGCAAAGCGTAGCTGCGAAACGGCTGTAGCATATGTTGTGCTTTTCTATATATTGTCGCAACATCAGTCAGGATTAGTTGTTGAAGTTTACCAGTGCGACTAGACCCCGTTTCTACCCCCCCCCCCCCTCCCATCCCTCCCTGCACCACACATGTGCCTCCTAGTGCCGCCCGCCCTCTTGCAAGTCATTCTCATCTTGTTTGCCATGCTGTAACCGTCTCGCTGCGTGCTCCGAACATGGCAGCATGGTTGCCCCCAACGATTGCTGCTCTTCCTGTCCGCTGTCTGCTGAGCAGTTGGCTCCTTGAGCCCCGCTTCAACCCCCCCTCCCGCCTTGCAGGCTGCTGCTGCTGCTGCTGCTGTCTGTTGTTAGCCTTGTCCTTGTTGTCTTGTTGTCAGTTGAAGTTTTGTGCCATCTCCTCGTTGTTGCTCTTGTTGTTGTTGTTCTTGTTGTTGTTACTTGGTTTTCTGTTTGTGTTCCACGCCCGCCTCTGTGCATGAAAAGTTGCAGGCATTTTCTTTGCTCCCCTTGTTGTTGTTGTTGTTGTTGGATGGCATTTTACTTTTGTTATAAGAGCTCTCCACGTACATACACATGTGCTTAAGGCCGTGAAAATTAGTTGTATATAAATTCCACAAATTTTTTAAATCTAAAACGCGTCGCTATTTTTGCTGCTTAGTGCAACTACTATTTAGGCAATATGGAGAGGTATATGAGGATTATTTTGCACTAATATGCAATCCAGTGCAGATCTTTAAGGGAGGGATTTCTTGAGGGATTTCTTTAAGCATTGGCAGTATTCAGACAGACTTGTTTGAATGCGAGGAGAACTTAAGAGTAGCCCTTGTATTTTCTTTCCTTCTGTCCGACTTCACTTAAAGCTTAGCTCCGTTTGTGTTGGGCCTTCCAATAAAGTTCATTTAATTTTGAAATTGTTTGCCCAACATTTTTCAATTGTGTTTCGTTAAATATGCAACAAAAACGTATTTTATGGAATTTGTTATTTTGTAACATTTTGATAGTCAAAAATGTGTTCAAACGCTTTTTTATTATTCCTCTAAAATATTTAAATAGAGAGAAAAAATATTACAAAAAAAAAATCAATGTATAAATTTTGCATATTTGATGCGAAAATCGTATTTCACAAAGTCGCAAAAGCAACAATTTAATTAATTCCGCGCATTCGGCAAAATGTTTGCTAAGCATTTTTACGCATTTATTAAACAATTTTGTATTTATTTTGTGCACTTGTTTTAGTCGAGTTTTTGTTTAACTCTCTTAGTTTTAGACATTAAATCAGCTTTTAACATTTTTGGTCTGCGGATAGTTATTTATTAAATGCTGACAGCCGCAAACGTTCAACTAATTAAGTTTTCTAATTAGCCGTTAAACGTGATTTAGCTCGTTAAACAAATTAGTTATATTTATGCCAAAACGAAAATAGAAAATGGTGAGTGCATAAATTGGTCCAATCAGAAGCATTAATTTAATTGTGTTTAACAAATGCAAACAACTCTTATTGGACTGAGAACGGGTTGGATTTGCATGCGAGCTGCAGCTCTTGGATAATCGCTCAGACTTTCATCTCTAGTAAATATCGATAATTTACATGACTAATTGAACCTACGCAAGAGAGGGCCTTGGTTCGAACCAAGGCTTGAACCTTAAGGTCAGGTTTGTGGAGATGATTTTCTACGCTCAAGGTTTAGGTTTCATCTAATTAAGTATTAGAATGTAATAAATACATAAATATACATATACAAAATATTGATCAGAATTGTTTAAAAAGAATCGCAGATATTGTGGGCAATTCTATTGAACAAAAATATTTCGATTTTATATGATTTTCGTTTAGAGTTCGGTTTATAATAAAAAATAAGAAAGTACGGAAATCTTCGGTATGCCGAAGATTTAATACCCTTGTAGACATATGCGAGAATAGTGAAGCTCGTAAATGCTGAGTTCGATGAAATTATCTTTGATAACTGATTTTTCCATTCCATCGATCTTGCTTATAGGAGCTTTATGATATAGTCCTCCGATGTTGATAAGATCTTGCATATGAGGAATATGCATAGTGGACCTAATAAATCCCAAATTTTGGTCAAGTTATTTAATATCGTTCGAATGGCAGTTGTATGATATAGCGGTCTAATCTGGCCTGTTCCTATGCAAGCCAGACCAATGCAAGATTTCAAGACGAGGATAGCTTTAAATCTGA